GATCAGCACTTCTGGCTCACCCGGAAGAGAAAGGAAGAGGAGGGGGCGGAGACAGAAGAGGCTATAAAAAGAGGCAGTTTGGGTGGGAGAGGGAGAAAAAAAGATACAGCCTTGGGAAAAGGAGTCAGCATTGAAGGGGAAAAGAAGGAGGGGGGAGAGAGGAGAGGAGATAAAATAGGCTGGCCAGGAGCCGATGTACAAGTTCTGCGGCAACTATCTGTGCCAGGTGCACACACAGGTGGCAGCGACAAACAGACAAGAAACGCAGCAGGGGAGGGGTCGCCCTCCATGCGGAATGAAGAAAGGCAGCATCAGCTAGAGTGAGGCACGGAGGGAGGGAGGGAGGGAGGGAAGAAGGAATGAGATGGCAATGAGAGAGAGGGAGGTGGCAAGCAGGAAGGAAACAGAAAGGAAGGAAGTGTTGGAAGAAAAAGCTGAAGATTTGCTTTCCAGCCGGGAGGCTATACCTTTAAGAGAAAAGAGAAAAAAAATGAAGCGCTGCAGTTTGAAATAGGTGAGAGGAAGCTGGCTGCTCCGGCTCCTTGAGAGGACATGTTTATTGGCAGAAGTAAAGTGCTGTTTGAGCAGTTCGGTTCTGGATCAGCTGAACAACAAACCGGGAGAGTGAAAGGTTTCTTATGTGATTTTGTGATTTTGAAGTACTGGGATTTGTGCAATGTGGGTTTTGTGTTCTTAAGGAGTGTTTGGCAATTTCTATTGTGCCTGATGGCTCGTGTTGGATTTTGGGGTGAGGGTTACTGGTTCTAATTCTATTGCTCTGCTATTGTTAGCTGTAAATTTTGTTGCAAGGGATTTTGAAGTATTTTTGACCTGAATGGATTTTGCTTGTAGCATTCATTTACTTATGAATGGAGCCATTTGGGGAGGCTGCCTTAGGTGGCAGCCAGTACTTCCTACATTTGGGTTTTTTTTTCTTAAGTGCCCACTGCCAACTCCTTAACTTTCCTTTCTATCAGTAGCTAATTCTTAAAGGGGAATGTGCCTTTTTAACCTAGTTCTCTTAGCGACTTGTCTTTTCTGTCTCTGGAGGTTTTTTCTTGTTTGATAAATATACGGAAGAGGGAAAATATGGTGGGGTTAAATTCTTCCTTCAGAAGGAAGGAGATGGGAATGAGAAAGAGGGAGGCAGGGAAGGAGGGAGGGAGGAAAGCAGGAAGGAAAAGAGGAGGCAGGAAGATTGGAATGAAAGGGAGGGAAGATCTGAAGGAAGTCCCGCCTTAGCACTTGGCCACCATCAGAAGGTTGCAAAAGGGGATCACATGACCGTGGGACACTGTGACCATCATAAATATGAAAAAGTTGCAAAGCATCCAAATATAAATCACATGACCCTGGGAATGCTGCAACGGTCATAAGTGTGAAAAATGGTCATAAGTCACTTCAGTGCCATTGTAACTTTGAACAGTCACTAAGTGAATTGTTGTAAATCGAGGACTCCTGTACTTTATCACTTTTTTGGGGGGTCAAGTTTTTGACACCTTAGTAGGTTGTACTCGAATATTGCCATACCCTAAAAGTGGTACAACCAGTGAAAAAGCTGAAAAGCCCTCGACTAAAAGACCGTCAATGTTCCTTCCAGCCCATATGGTTCTATGATTCTACAAATGAATAGAAATCTTAAATAGCTCAGAACTTCAACTGATAGGACATTTTGTTTCTAATATTTTTTACTATAGCATCAAATAACAATGATTGAGGCCACCAGAAGAGCAAGAACCAGAGCATCTCCCCCGACACCCGAAGGGGTAAAAGTGGAAGTAGAATATATACTTTATACTTTTATTAATTATACTTAATAAAAAAGTTGTGATTTTATTTTGAATATAATTTTTGAAATTTTCCACATTGTACTATGTGTAACGTTCCAGTACTTTTGAGTATTTTTACATGTCCACCACATATGGTAAAATGTTCCTTCTGTTTCATAGCTTTTCCAACATATATTTCTGTATGACTTCTCTCGGAGATTGCACCAACTTTTCTTTTAGATTGTAGCTTAGAGAAAATTTTATGGATTTGGTCCATAATTCTTCCAATTGTTGTTTTGTGATTGTTTCTTTAAAATTTTGCATCCATTTTATTGTAGTTTTTAATTTGTTCTGTCTCTATATTGTACCTAAGCAGGAGTTTGTATATGCATGCTGACAGATAGTTTTGGTTTTATATAACATTTTCAAATTCTGGTATTTTTCTTAATGTCTCTTCTTCATCTCAAGATCAGATTTTATCCTTTCAGCCATTTGTAAATACATCAACCATAGGATATTTTGGCTTTCACTGAATATCTTAGAATGCAGTACTGCAGCTATTTCTGCTGACTGCTGGCTGCTAGCAGTTCAAGTGTCAGCAGCTCAAGATTGACTCAGCCTTCCATCCTTCCGAGGTGGGTAAAATGAGAACCCAGATTGTTGGGGGCAATATGCTGACTCTGTAAACTGCTTAGAGAGGGCTGTAAATCACTGTGAAGCACTATATAAGTCTAAGTGCAATTGCTATCAAGGTGCTCTTGGAAAATGCCAGGGCTTTTTTTCTCATAGAACGCCCAGAACGGAGTTCCGGCACCTTTTTTGGATGGAACCTTGTAGGGTAGGCGAGGTGGGTTGTATGACATGTGTGAGTTCCGGCACCTTTTTTTTTTAATAGAAAAAAAGCACTAGAAAATGCTGATTAAAGAATAAAAAGCTTCTGAAAATGAATAATGACTATAGGACTATAAATTTCTCAGCCGCATAGCCTGTTTCTCCTCTGGATATACATGCCACAATAAGTTAAGAGATAGAGCTATTATTATTATTATTAGATATACAACATGGTTTGCAACCTTTAATATAAAAAAGAGGGGTACATAATTCACAACAGAAACAACTAAAATTACTGATCTTTCAATCTCCCAAGAGATTGTGGATAGTCAAAATTTGATTAAGAATTTAGAGGATATCCTCAACAGATAGTTTTCAAACTGTTCATTCATGATGATCAGGAATTATGATGGTTTTTCGAAAGGGTGCTTTATGACCTATAAAGCACTTCTAGTCATCACAAAATATTGCACCATTACTTCTGCAATCACATGAACACAGTCTGGGTGCTTGATGACCTGTTTGCACTTACGACCAGCTGCCCCATGATCATGCGTGCTCACCATTTTCAATCTTCTCTGCCAGCTTCCCTAGAAAGTCAATGGGGGAGCCAGCAGGGACGGTTACAAGCTGCTGCCACTTGCTGAGAAGACTCCCTTGTATCTCTGGTGGCTTGCTGAAAGAGCTTTCTGCCAAGTGAAGCTGGAGTTGTTTGGTAGGGTTCAGAAATGGAGTTCAAACCCTAAAGATTTTCACATATAGAGGAGGTGGAGTCCTTTGGCGGGCTGCAGAACCAGAGCTCAAATCTCTGTATCTGCATGCTGCTAGGGGAGTTCTCTCTTGTGCATGGTGGGAAGGTGAACTCCTTCAGCAAGCAGTTCTTTCAGCCACAGCTTGTCATCCAGAAACAAGAGGGAGCCAAAATCCAAGCAGAGGGTGGAGAGGCAGATGTGCCTAGGATAGGTGAGAGAGGCCGGGGCAAACCTGGCACAGGCCGTGCACTAGTGTCTCTCCATTCAGGGGATAAAGATCCTGCTTGGATTTTGGTATGGAGGATTCCTATTCCTCCTCAGGCACCCTGCACTCCTTACCTGGAACAGCATTCATTTAATGACCCATGAGATTGCAACCATAAGTCCTGGAACTGCAGCTGTTGAGTGAAGCAGTCAATGACTGAGATTCCGGTCCCAATTGTGTCATAAGTCAAGGACTATCTATATATCTCGTGACTCATCCTTAGACATTATTCCCATATTTTAGCAAAAAATACATGAAACTGATGGAAATCATTCTGAAGAATTTGCTCTTGTTGATAACAAAAAGGCTGCAAACTCAGCCATAGATTTCTCTTTAAAAATTGTGGAATTTATGTTTTAGGAGTTGGAGAATAAATAAAAGGGTTTTATCTTTTGATGATGCATCCTTGACAACCTTATTACTATGATAACAGCAAATAGCCTCCCACTCAATTTTGATATAAGGGCAACAGTAGCATACTGATAAATGTTAGATATGGAATAGGTGTAGAACTTATCTTAATCATTTGTGCAAAGTGCAAAGGTATTTTATTTACTTTTACTAAATTGTCCAATCAACCTAGAGTTTTTAATGAGAGGCACAAATGGTCAGGCTCAAATTATCCAACTTTGGACATACTATGCAAAGATCTAGCTCTCCAGAGAAAGCTCTATTGCTGTGTGAAAACAGGATGGAAAGAAAAGAAAAAAAGAAAAGAACAACCAGCAGCAAGGTAAGTGGACTTAGTGCTCAATGCAACATCAACTGAATAAATTGAAGCAAAACAGACATCAAAGTCTGAAATGAATACAACCTTTAACAATAATTGATAATGATGATAAATCAATCATATTTACTTGAATTATATTTATAACAGTATCAACAAAAATGGAAACAAATATTAGAGCTTGATTGTAATTTATGAAGAAAATGAACAAAACTCACCATGCCCTTTCCAGAATCAAAAACGTTATCTACACTGACCATAACAGACGTATCAGGTTTAGAAGAAGAAAGATTCTCCACTATTTGGACATTGGGTTGCAGAAAAGTCAGTTCATTTCTCCTGGACTCAGTAGATAAACAGATCTGATAGGAATAAGGCAAAGTCCCTTCTTCATAATTTGGAGGAAATATGGTACCAGTCTTTGAATGAGAATCAGGAATGAAGCACTGAAAAAAAGTGGTGTTCCTTGACTTTTGAAGTTTCATAATAAGGGCCAAAGTCACAGCCACCAGGAACAGAAAGGACACCAAAGTCAAAGTCAGAACCAAGTAAAACTGGAGCTTGGACTGATCCTCTGAGTTATTAGGTTGGGCATTCATTTCAGGAAGAGCCTCCTGGAAGTTCTGAGCAAAGACCAGGTTGAAGCTAGTGGTGGCTGAGAGAGGCGGCTGTCCATTATCCCTCACCATGATGACCAGCCTCTGCTTGGTAATGTCTCTCTCAAGTAATGCTCGAGCTGTTTGGATCTCTCCTGTTTGGGAGCCAATGATGAAGAGTGAGGGCTCTGTGGCCTGCAGAAGATGAAAAGAGAGCCAGGCATTGTGTCCAGAGTCAGCATCCACAGCCACAACTTTTGTCACCAAATAACCCGAATCGGCTGAGCGAGGCACCACCTCAAAGAATGATGAACCCTGAGTTGTCTGGGAAGGGTACAGGATCTGGGGAGTATTATCATTCTGATCTAGTACACACACTTTGACCATGGCGCTATTATTGAGAGATGGAGAGCCTCCATCCTGAGCTTGCACTTGCAGCTGGAAGTCTCTGAGCTGCTCATAGTCAAAAGATCGTTGAGCATAGAGAGTTCCAGTCTCAGAGTTAATGGAAACGTAGGAGGAGAGAGGAAGGTTCTTGATGTTGCTGTTAATCATGGAGTAGGTGATTTGGGCGTTATTACCCAGATCTGGGTCAAAGGCCTTAACTTGGAAAATAGATGTTCCAGATGGGTTGTTCTCAGGAATATAAGTGACATAGGAAGGTTTTTCAAATGCTGGAGGGTTATCATTGATATCTGAGATTGGTACTAAGATGGTTTTATCTGTGGAAAGAGGAGGTGTGCCTTGGTCTGTGGCTGTAATTGTTAAGTTATACACCGGTGTTTTTTCTCTGTCAAGGGGGCCATCTACGAGGAGCTTGAAGTAGTTATCTGATGATGAGATCACCTGGAAAGGTACAATTTCCCTTAGGTAACAGGTGACTTCCCCATTAAGTCCAGAATCTCTGTCATGGACTTTGATAAGGGCGATCACTGCTCCAGACAGAATATCTTCAAGAATGGGGCTGGACAGAGATGTAATAATTACATCTGGAGCATTGTCATTCTCATCAAGAACCTCAATCTCTACATTGCAATGTGCCACTAGTCCACCTCCATCACTTGCCCGTATTATCATCACATAGCTTTCTCTGTCTTCAAAATCAATACTTTCCTCAAGTGAAATTGTTCCATCAGTGGGATCCAAATTAAATTTCTGATTCACATTTTCTGGATTTTCCCAGAAAATATAAGATATCTCAGCATTTGACCCTTCATCACTATCAGATGCTTTCACCTGAAGCACAAAAGTCCCTCTTGGTGTATTCTCTTTCAGACTTGTTTTGTAAGTTGCCTGGGAGAAGACTGGTGGATTGTCATTTATATCAATAACATTGACTTCTATGTTAAGAGTCCCTGTTTTCACTGGACGTCCTCCATCTGAAGCTGTAAGAATCAGGTGGTGTGTGTGCTCCTTTTCTCTGTCCAATGGCTTTTGCAAAATTAATTCTGCATATTTGCCACCATCTTTGCTCTCTTGAATTTCTAGTTTGAAATACGAAGTTGAGCTCAAATGATAATCTTGAAGTGAGTTGATTCCAATGTCCTCATCTTCAGCATTTCCCAGAGCAAATCGAGCTCCTGGCAAATGAGACTCACTCAAATTGAGACTGATATTTTTCTTTCGGAAATATGGGGCATTATCATTAATATCTAGGATGAAAACTTTTATGTGGAAAATATTCAAAGGATTATGTGCCACAACTTCTAACTGCAGGATACAAATAGGTGAGTTTCCACAAATTCTTTCCCGATCTATTCTGTCATTCACATATAGATCACCACTTTTCTCATTCAAAGCAAAATATTGCTTTTCTGAAGAGACAGCAAGTTTGCGTTTTTGTAAATGTTCAATATCCAGCTCCAAATCTTTAGCAAGATTCCCCACAAAGGAATTTTTTTCTGTTTCCTCTGAAAGTGAGTACTGAACCTGCTCCGATACCACCCAGTTGACCAAATCCCAGAATATGAACAGAAAAAGTACTTGCCTCAAATTGAATTTCTGTATTCCCTTTATGTAGCTTGCTTCCATTACTGTCATTGCCTTCCTTGTTTGTTTTTTCTTCTTAGAGTTATAGCTTCCAATTTCACACTCTTTAGCAATAATATTGGAGAAAAAAATAGTCTTAATGAGTTGATTTATGAGAGAAAATATTCTTTCCAGAACACCTTTTAGAATAAAGCTTTCTGCTGCATCTGTTTTCTGGTCAGTTGAAATGCAAGTGCCGGATACAGCTACAGAAGAATCAAGGGCTAATCCAAGGCTGATATTGTCCTATAGTGACACTCTGAGTATATACTGTGAACTGCATTTCCTGATAAAGCTTTATTTTAATTCCATGAGTTTTTTTGTTACAAAAAACATAGAATATTATTGTCTGAAATGGTTAAGGGTTTCCTGCCTGAGCAGGGAGTTTGACTAGAAGACCTCCAACATGCCTTCCAGTCTGTTATTCTGTTATTCTATTCTGTTATTCTGTTAAGCTGTAACTAATTTAATGATTTTTCAGTGGCATTGCAACATCAATTGCTGAACAAATGGTATACATTTTTTGACATTGTTTTAATTTTCTGACCAATGGTACTGGGGTTCCTAATTCTTTTTCACCAAATGAAACAGTCATGATCTGGATTTCACCTTCTTAATACTTAAAGGCTAGAAGATGGGAGGAGCATCAAGATATTCAGAAAGTCAAAGCCCACAAATAAAACAATCAGCAGTTGGGATCTAGATTACTGTATAAGCAAATAAACAATCTATATGACTGTAAACTCATAATTCTTACTAATAAATCTAAATCTACTATTTAATCCCAATAATAAGTTCCGCTTATTTATTTCTTATTCAGTTTCTGTAGCATTTGTGCTCCTGAAACTTTTGTACATTATGTAAGTTAGAAAGTGCATATACTGAATTTCAGCACTCATCTTAAACTTATGTTCTTTGAAATAAATCCTCCTGACTTAATTGGAATCATTGCGAAGTAATTAGTTCTTTGTACTTCAAACAAGCTTTTGCCAACCAAATTCCATGGAAAATATCTTCCAGACAAATTTGTTTTTAAGCAAACAAGCAAAAATGTTAAGCTAAATATTTTATGCAAGGAGAAAAAAATAAATTGTAATCTATTTCTTTAAAAAGTATAGTTGTTTTCTTTTGAACTAGTACAGGCACATCCAGAAATACACTAGGTATCAGTGAGACGAAACTGAGCAAACTGAGACATTCCCCTGGCCAGGAAATAAGGAGACAGTACTGTTGTTTATCCAAGTTCTGATTGATCACTTAATTAAGTAGGAAGTTGGTGAGAGGGAAGAGAATAAAAGCAAAATGCACGTGTACAAAAATCAGTCTGCCAATTTCTACACAATTCTCAAAGTAGTGACTGCCTCTAATTGAAGGCCTCTGGAGAAGCTCTTTTCTATTGCCAGTATAACAATGTTACAGTAGCTAGAATAGAATAGAGCTGGAAGGGGCCTTGGAGGTCTTCTAGTCCAGCCCCCTACTCAAGCAGGAGACCTTATGCCATCTCAGACAAGTGACTGTCTAGCCTCTTCTTACAAATCTCCAGTGATGGAGCGCCCACGATTTCTGGTTAATTGTCCTCACTGTCAGGAAGTTTCTCCTTAATTCCAGGTTGCTTCTCTCTTTGATCAGTTTCCAACCATTGTTTCTTGTCCTGCCCTCTGGTGCTTTGGTGAATAACATGACGCCCTCTTCTTTGTGATAGCCCCTCAAATACTGGAATATTGCTATCATGTCTCCCTTATTTCTTCTTTTCTTTAGACTAGCCAAATCCAAGTCCTGCAGCAGTTCTTCATATGTTTTAGTCTCCAGGCTGTTGATCATCTTAGTTACTCTTCTCTGAATTTTTTCCAGACTCTCAATATCTTTTTTATGATATGGTGACCAAAACTGGCTGCAGTATTCCAGGTGTGGTCTTACTAGGGTTTTATAAAGAGGTACTAATATTTCACATGTTCTTTATTCCATGCCTCTGTTTATACAACCCAGGTGACATGGTTCCGAAAGAAAGCAGATTTTCAAAGAATTCTGAGGCTTTTTCCTCTAAAAGAATCTTTTATTATTCTGCATAGCTTCGGCACTAACAAAGTTAAGCCAGAAACTGAATCCTCCCTCCCCCAAGCATCTGTAACAAAGCATAACTCACTCCTTCATTTTACAGTCATCAATCACATTCTCCAATTAATGTGAACCGTGAGGTGCCCCTCCCGTTGCAGCTGAGCTGACCTTGGCCACACTGTGCCCAGACATTGTTATGGTTAACTTGCATACTTTCCCACCCCTTAACCTACTGCTATCTGTCTTAACTCTAGAAATGCTACTCGGCTAAATAAAACAGGCTTGCTTCTTCATATATGGCAAGCAAGAACATACGATGTTAGCAGTCTTGACATCCGGCCCTCCTTACAAAAAGAACAGACCCTGGAATATAAACATAAGTATAGGTTAAGGGTTATTTTTCGGTTTGTTGGGGTGTTTAACATGAAACTTTTTGATCAATCTATCAGCTTTCACTTCCCTGGACGTCACCCAGGTGGCTTCAGACACTGGGTATCCCTTCCATTGCACCAAGTACTGTAATTTCCCCGACTTTCAGATAGGTCCACTATAAGGTCCATAGCTATTTCTTCCCAGGGTGGAGAAGGGTCTGCCACGGGTTGCAGTAGCCCAGGAGTTTTTCCCGGGATTCTTTTCGTTGTGGCACATACAGTACAACTTTTTACAAAGTTTTCCACATCCTTTTTCAGCCCCGGCCACCAAAATTGCCGTCGGGTGAGGTGTAGGGTTTTCAAATATCCAAAGTGTCCAGCCTGCTTTACATTGTGGCTGTGTTTGAGAGCGTTAAGACGGAGCGCTTCTGGCAAATATAACTTCCCCCCTTTATAAGCCAAGCCATCTCTGCATGTTAGGGACGCTTGATTATCTTTGAACCATTGGTCAGTGAGGAGCTCTCGTTTTATTTTCTTCACTCCAGAGTCATCAGGATTGGGGACCCTGATCACTTATCTGTGGAATTTGCTCAATTTCACCTTGCAGCAGGGGCCCCAAGCTGGAATCTCCTCTCTGTGTGGGGCTAGAGGCTCTGGCAAGGGTCCCCAGGGGTTGAAAAGCCAATTGATCTGCAAGGAAGGGGCTGGGGGCCTCTCTCAATGGGAGTTGCTCTTCGCTTTGCACTTCTAATTCTTCAAATCTTTCTGCTAGGTATTCTAATGACCCACTGCAAGCTGCAGGTGGGTATTTCCACTCACCCGAGTCTTCAGCAATAGATGGCCGGGCAGCTCCCCATTGTTGGGAGGAAGGTGATATGTAAGCATCCCTTCGCCGTGACTCACGCTCATCCGCTGGCAAGGCTGTGTGGAAACTTCCGGAGCCTTTGCTTGGCTTGTCCCAGTCTGACGACCAAATCAGCTCTCCTGATAGTTTTGGCCTTGCTCCCAGCTGTGGAGTTTGCCAGAGTTTCTTCTCCACTGTCTGGGTAGCTGGCCCCTCCCTTCCTGGAGAAGCTGCTGCTGCTGTTCCTCCTGGAGAAGCTGCAGCTGGGGGGGTGCCGGCCTCAGGCACTTTTTTCCCTTCCATGGCAAAATCTTCCCCTTCTCTTTGTCAGCTGTCCCCGTTAGCTTAGGGATAGTGACTGGGGTAAGGGACCCCTAAATGAATTTAAAAGTTTGTGGTTTCTGGCTTGATGACATGGTTCCGAAAGAAAGCAGATTTTCAAAGAATTTTGAGGCTTTTTCCTCTAAAAGAATCTTTTATTATTCTGCATAGCTTCGGCACTAACAAAGTTAAGCCAGAAACTGAATCCTCCCTCCCCCAAGCATCTGTAACAAAGCATAACTCACTCCTTCATTTTACAGTCATCAATCACATTCTCCAATTAATGTGAACCGTGAGGTGCCCCTCCCGTTGCAGCTGAGCTGACCTTGGCCACACTGTGCCCAGACATTGTTATGGTTAACTTGCATACTTTCCCACCCCTTAACCTACTGCTATCTGTCTTAACTCTAGAAATGCTACTCGGCTAAATAAAACAGGTTTGCTTCTTCATATATGGCAAGCAAGAACATACGATGTTAGCAGTCTTGACACCAGGATTGTATTAGCTTTTTTGGCTGCTGCTGCACACTGCTGGCTCATAGTCAAGTGGTCATCACTAGGACTCCAAGGTCCCTCTTACAGTTACTGTTTTTAAACCATATCTCGCCTAATCTGTACTTGTACCTTTGATTTTTTTTTCTGCCTAAATATAAGACTTTGCTTTTCTCCATATTGAAACTCATTTTGTTGGATAGGGCCCATTGTTCAAGTTTGCCAAGATCTTTTTAGATCCTGAGTTTGTCTTCTGGGTGTTGGCTACTCCTGTCAGTTTGGTGTCATCTGCAAATTTGATGAGTTCCCCTTCATTTCCCTCATCTAAGTCATTTATATAGATATTGAAGAGTACTGGGTCTAAGACGGAACCTTGTGTTACCCCACTGCTTCCTTAATGTGTCCATACTGTTCCTCACATGGACTAATTTGATGTAGATACAAAAATAGTCACAATGTCCTTTGTTGGAGGTATAGTAAGGCAGTAGTACATAAATGCACTTATTTATTCCAATAGATTAAACCCTAGGTCCCAGTAGGTTAAACCCATACTTTTCCAAAAATTTTGAAAATAGTCTCAGTTGTGTTTCAGATCAATCCATATCTGAATTTGTCTGAGTCAAGAAAGTAATGGAATTTTAGACTGAGTGCACTGAGACTATCTATAACATGGCCATCATTTATAAAACATATACATTCAATGCTGATATGATTACATACTGTAGAGGAATATCTTTACATTAAAATGTCCAGTGTCTGGAAACATAATTTCTCCTGTGTTGTGCTAAGTAACAACATAACTTAAAACATTGGGGTGGTATAGGAGATGGTCTTTTCTTTACATACATGATTCCCAAACTGTGGGCAGTGGTATTTCAACACACTACAGTAAACCTATAGCAGTGTCATGGGATATTTTAATTTTTTTGCAGGAAATATATTTGTTAGATATTTCCTTTAGCCTAGAGGCAATGTAATAAAATTATAGAGAACCAATAAAATTTGGAAACCATTATTTTTATGATGTTTTTTTCTACAATAATCTTTACAATAATCATAATTTTCCTGAAATTCTCCTCATGATTTATCACTCAGAGTTAATAAGAAGCAGGTTTGAGCCATATTACAATCCGGATCTCATACAAACAACAAGAGACAGCTAAAGATATATTACCAAGAGAATATTCAATAGGGAGCGTATGAATGTAATGTAGTTAGACATCTGAAAGAAAACATTCCTGTCACCAAGAAACCTTGGTTCTATTATATCACTAGAAAATTGAAAGATACATTGAAAGGGAGAAGAATGAAATGTTTAAAAATGTTATGTCTATATCTTTCTGATAGTTTTCATATAAAAGATAAAAATATATTAAGAAAATCTAATACATTTCTAAAAACACAACAGTATTTTCATATCAATGCTCCTATGTGTAATCATATAAATCAATTCCTCAGAAATTTCATATTACCAATATAATAGAAAATGGTAAACAAATAGTTTTTTTACAAGGAATACAAAATCAGAGTATCAATTTAGAATATTAAGTATTAAACTTCATTAGAGAGAAGAGACTGAAGGGAAATCACTGTTGAGATAAATAAGGGCTTATACGATCAACACAACACACCATTAATCTGAAATATTAAACTCACCTTAACTAAGATTTGCTCATCATTCTTCAAGTTTAAATCCCCATAGGCTAGGATAGGGTCACTCACCCCACAGGTTAGAGGTTGATTGGTCAGAGTATTTGAACAGTTTTCCTCATGAAAATTGCAGTGGCTTTTTCTAGAATCTCTGGTGAGTGAAATAGTGTGACAGTACGACTGAAGAAAGGCTCGGACTCCATCCATCCCAACAAATTGTGACACTGGGACACCACTAAAATGTACACTTCCTGACTCTAACAATTTTGAATTCCTCCACCTGTACAATCTGATGGCCAATAAGACAAGGAGGAAAGTAAAAAACAAGCAGGAGACAAACGCCACTGCAATCACCAGATAAAATGTGAGGTCTGACTGAGGATCTACAGGAGCTGAGATGTTGCTCAGATCTGAGAGAATTTCAGGGATGTTGTCAGCCAGAATCACTGTGAGAGTGACCGAGGCAGAGAGAGGCGGCTGCCCGTTGTCCTTCACTAAAACCACCAGGATTTGCTTCAGGGCATCTTTCTCCAGAAAAAGCCGAGCAGTCCTGATCTCGCCAGTGTGTAGTCCCACGGTGAAGAGCCCTGGTTCTGTTGCTCTGATCAGCTGGTAGGAGAGCCAGGCATTCTGGCCAGAGTCTGCATCTACTGCCACTACTTTAGTGACCAGGTAACCTGGCTCAGAAGAGCGAGGGGCCAGCTCTATCCCAGTGGAGCCGTCAGCGGGAGGGGAGGGATGCAGGATCTCTGGCACATTGTCATTCTGGTCCAGGATGAAGAGAGTCACCGAGACATTAGAGCTGAGCGATGGGGATCCTCCATCCTGAGCCTTGACCTGGAACTGAATCTCTTGAATCTCCTCATAGTCCAAGGAGCTTAGGGCATAGACGGTCCCTGTCTCAGAATTAATGGAGAGGTAGGAGGAGAGGGGCAAGTCCTTCATTTGGCTCTCAATGATGGAGTAAGTTATTCTGGCATTTTCTTCCCAGTCTGGGTCACTTGCTTTGAGGGAAAAGGCTGAGGCTCCTTTTGGGTTGTTTTCTACAAGGTAGGAGGTATATTTTGATTCCAGAAACTCTGGAGGGTTGTCATTTGTGTCCAACACCTGGAGTGAAATAACCACAGATGTAGAGAGTGGTGGTGTCCCGTCATCCACCGCTGTAACAGTAATAGAGTAAGTTGGCAATTGTTCCCTGTCAAGGGCTTTCTCTGTCTCTAAACTGTAGAAACTCTCCATTGTTTTCTTGAGCCGAAAAGGGAGGCTGCTGGGAATTGAGCATTTAACCTCTCCGTTGCCTCCTGAATCTCTGTCTCGGGCATTTAAAATGGCAATGACGGTCCCGGCTGGAGAGTTCTCAGGGACCGAGTTGATCACAAAGGTGATGGCTAACTCAGGTGCATTATCATTTAAGTCTGTAACCAAAATCACAACCTTTGACCTATCACTCAGCCCACCCCCATCCATGGCTTGCACTTCAAATTCATACGTTGACGATGTTTCAAAATCAAGGCTCCCCACAAGGATAATTTCCCCTGAAGTCGAATTTAACAGAAACATGTTTTGATTGTTCTTGTTTATTTCCTCAAAAGAATATTTTACTTCTCCATTGGTTCCTTCATCCATATCAAAAGCTGTTACTGTAGCTATTGTGGATCCTTTGGGTAGGTTCTCTTTGAGTTTCACTTCATAGATTGGTTGGCTGAAAACTGGTACATTATCATTTGCATCTAGAACAATGATATGAATCTGTATTATGCCAGACCTAATGGGATCGCCACCATCAAAAGCTGTAAGGATCAGATCATAAACTGACTGCTCTTCCCTGTCCAGTGATTTTTCCAACACTAGTTTAATAGATCTGGTGCCAGTTTCGCTTCTTTGCATCTCCAGAGAAAAATGGTTACTTGCAGTGAGTTGATAGCTTTGCACAGAATTTATCCCCAGATCTGGATCTTGAGCTTTTGGTAAAGGAAATTGTTCTTTTAATGCTGACATCTCACTGATTTTCATTGTCCATTCCTTTGAGGGAAATTGAGGAGCATTGTCATTTATATCTGTGATTTCTACTTCAATTCCATAAAGCTTTAGTTTACTTTCAATAAGGATCTGGAATTTTATTATGCATTTTTCTGTCTCTTTGCATATTTTCTCTCTGTCTATTAATTGAGAAATTTCTAAATGCCCACGATTGACATTCAGAAGAAAATATTGAATTGTACCTGCATTAATAACAACACGAAGTCCATGATCTAAAAGTTGTTTCCCATCCATTCCCAGGTCCTTTGCAATGTTTCCCACAAAAGTACCTTTTGGCATCTCTTCAGGAATGGAATAATGGATCTGCCCAGAAACTGCTTCCCAAACAATCATCACAATAAAGTATTGCAGAATTCTCTGTCCATAATTCCATAATCTCTTAGTTTTCTTCATTGTTTTGCTACAATATAAATAGCATCCACTCAGGATTAAAAGCTCTTTGATAGTACTTACTGACTGCTGAGGTTTTCTTGTGCTGTTCAGATTCCAGTTGAAAATATATTGTATCCAGGTTTGGAAGCAAAATGTGCTTCTGTTTCACGGTCGCCTGGTCTCTGTAATGGTGTGCTTTAATGTATTGACAAAACTGGATGGCTCATTCTTACGTTTTTGTTCCTCGGTGGTAAATAGTGACACCCAGAGGCTCAATCCAAAACTGCAGAATATCCTTGATCATAGAAATGATCTACAGTATTTGCCATCATTTGTTTTTAAAAAATCTATTCTGGTTTTTTTTTATTTTAAAAAATAACACAAACAGGACAGTTACAGTTCACAAGAAAACAAATACATTTAAAAAGAAACAGTAAAACAGTTTAAAACTAGCAACAATGCATACAATGGCTAATCAAATTCAGGGAGGAATAATGCCAAGGGGGGGGGGGAAGTGCCCTCATCCCATAGCAATTAGTTCATAGCAATTAAGAAACTATTACAAGATTTTTCATGCCAAAGAAAAGACAAGTGCTAAGATAAAATTTTGACCATGGGAAAATCATAAGTTTGTATTGAGATAGTAACAATCAGTCATTTTGCATGGGACTTTCCTTGAAGACAATTCTATGGTTTCAGCTAGTGCAGAATGCTGTGTTGGTTATTTTTTTTTTTTATGGATGTGGTCAATGCTTTATTGCACCCAATCTTGGAGATTTGCACTGGGTGCCTATTGCACACCTATTTTGTAGTATTGGTGTAGATGTACAACCAAAATCTCCCAAGAACTAAGTTCAAGCCCTATGACTGCACGTACATGTCTGACTTGTTTTCTTGGCAATAATGCAAAAGGAGTTTCTTCTTCCAGCATCTCATCTTGCCAGGTTAAGGTACAGCCTTGGGATTTCCTGATAATCTGAAACCCTAAATAATATCTGCTCAAATATTTATTGAAATGTATTTCTAGTTATCTATTAGCCTGAGATTTGTGGTGATAACAGTAGCAATAAAAATGATGTAATAATAGTAATAGCAATGGTAACATGTAGTAAAAACAATCATGGGGTGAACTCTGGTATTGGGTGATCCAGGTGTTGTAAAATTTTACAATACTAAGATCCCTCGCCACAAATTACAAAAAGATTTTATTGGGGTTCTTATTGGGCAAGAAATAGCTGTACTCCTTATCTGGAATAATTACATTTATATCTCTGTAACTAAAATAAAATGTAACTAAGATCGAATTTGGGTCACCAGGACCAGATGTTTACTCTTCCAAGGTTCTGGACTCGTGCAGGAGCCCATCCTCAAGGAACTGGTTGGACCAAATTGGATCTTGCAACATTATCCGGAGACATGTATATTCACCTTCATTTTTAAAATGTAACTATTTAATTGCAAATAAGAAAAAAAGAAAAATCCAATATTGTAAAGTTAAAATCATTTTGGGGCTTCCTTATCTTTTCCTAACTTCTGAAATCTGTGTTTAATTTTGAAGACAAGCACTTTATTCATCAAAGTCAGGAAAAAACAGGAAAGGGATGGTTCCTTCAATCAGCTTCACTTAAAACTTGGTTGGTGTTTCTGAGCTGCTTGACAAGGAGTATCTAGTATCAGATCTTCATAACTCCGGGAATGGAGCTATTTCCGAAAGTTGATTGCCTCCTGATGGTTAAGGCCACTTCTCCACATTATCTATGGTATTATATATATGTATTATACCATACTTGCTTAACCACCGGTTGCTTAGTGACTGATGATGCGATGGACCTCCCCAGACCTACCTGTGCTCCAATTTTGAAGTTCTGATGGCCACATACACAAACACATCTGTGATCATGTGAATGCATTTTGAGTGCTTTGCAACAGGATCACATTTATAGCTGTTTGCCACATCCTGTGGTCACATGACCACAATTTGGGGTGGGAGGAGGGTTACTTCCTGCTTCTGGCAAAAGAAAATGTACCTTTGAGTATGAGAATTCATTTAATGACATAGTGTTCACCTAATGACTGCAGCATTTGCTTAACAACCATGGCATTCACTTAGTTACTGCTATAAAATTAAGTACGGTCAAAAGATGACCTCCACTTAATGACTTCCACAACTTATAGCCGTAATTCAATTTTAGTTTCAAATTGAGAACTACCGGTGTGATGAATCATAGGATTCCAGCAGTTTACAACAATAAACAAACATAAAACCCCCATAATCCTCCATTACAGAAATTAAATTAAATGAAATCAAATTAAAATTCAGTTCAAAACCATTGAATCACACATAGAATAAAAGAACTGAATAATTGTTTAAGTTAATCTTGGTGTCCTAGCAGACTATCACCTAAGCATGAAGTAGCAATGTTCTGCAGCAGCCAAACAAGCCAATGCAGTCCTAGGCTGCATCAACAGAGGAATAGTGTCAAGATCACAAGAATTGATAGTACTATTCTATACTGCCCTAGTGAGGCCACATTTGGAATACTGCATCCAATTCTGGTTGCCATGATACAAAAAAAATAATTCTGGCTGCCATGATACAAAAAAGATGCTGAGAAAGAGGGCAGAGAAGAGTAACAAAGATGATAGGATGAACGGTTAAGGGAACTATGTATGTATAGCATAATGAAGAGAAGGATTAGTAGTGACATGATAGCTGTCTTCCAGTACTTAAGGTGCTGTCACAGAGAACAGGGGGTTGATTTATTCTCCAAAGTTCTTGAGGTTAGGACAAAAAGCAATGGGTGGAAGCTCATTAAAAAATGATCCAATCTGGAATTAAGGAGAAATTTTCTTTCAGTTAGAACAATT